ATGAGCCAGCACCGACGGAGACATCAACATATCCTTAATGGTATAGAAGCTATTTTGGCAAGCTTGGGTCCATTCCCAAGAGACCTGTTTTTTTAATAAATTATATAAGGGGTAAAGGATAGTTGACGCGTTCGGTAAAAATTTGACGTAATAATTGACAGCCCCAAGGAACGACTTAAGCTCTGTCACATTTGAGGGTACTTTGGTTTTAACCACCGCCTCCACTCTTTCGTGCGTTTTATGCAAACCAAACCTGTCAATTTGATGACCCATGTAAGTCAATGATTCTTGCATAAAACTACATTTTTCTTTCTTAAGCTGAAAACCGCATTCCGATAATTTTTTAAAAACTTGTTTAAACGGCTAGAATGTGCTAGCTTTAAACAAGCTTTGGATACAATTTGTGAAAACATGTAGGCGCTGATGATTCAGTTCACCCTGTATAACAGTTATACCGGGTGTTCATTTGAAAACTTCCCACCCCGGTTTTATCAAAAACCGCTGATTTAAAAAAAAAAAAACGCCGAAACATGTCAAAAGACGTGTCAAGGGGGACAACTTTTTAAGTAAAAATTACTTCCCCCCACTTCACCCCCTACCGCCCAGGGGCACCCCCTAAAGAATCTTAAATGGGAAAGGTTATCGAATAATAGCTTGTTTGAAAGGCCTTATCAAGTGCTTTATTATGACGTTTGAATTTTTGAAATCGGTCGATTCGTTTTCGAGAAATTTGAGAAAATATTTTAACATTTCAAAAAAACATTAATAATCAAATAAATTAAAGTCACAATAAATACCTAACAGCAACACACCAAAATATCACTTTTTTAGTAAGTGTTCAAAGAAGAGTTTTAAATGAAGCCGCTCAGGTTGAAGTTTTAGGCCATTTTGGCATAAATCCGAATACTTCCTTACGTAAAGTTGTTGATGCAACCGGTATTTCATTAGGCTCTGTAGACAAAGTTACTAAACTCCATAAATTCCATCCTTACAAAATGCAAATACACCAAGAGTTAAGTGAAGACGATTTTGATAGGCGAGTTGAGTTTTGCCAACGAATAACTGAAGCAATCAATGATAATGCTATTCAGGTAAAGAATATTTGCTTCAGTGATGAATGCTCGTTTCACCTCAACGGATGTGTGAATAAGCATAACTGCAGATATTGGAGCAATGAAAATCCTCATGCTTTTGTAGAGGGGCATACCCAATATCCCCAAAAAATGAATGTGTGGGCAGGCATTTTAGGAAACAAAGTGATTGGGCCGTTGTTTATTAATGGAAATTTAAATGGAGAAATTTATTTGGATATGTTAGAAAGTACCATCAATCCCCTTATTACTGAAGCAATCGAAAATCAAATTGATGAGGATGGAAACCCTGTGCTTGATGAGGCTGAAGTTTATTTCCAGCAAAACGGTGCTCCTCCTCGTTATGTTCTTCCGGTTCGGCAATGGCTAGATGAGGAGTTTCGAAACAAATGGATAGGACGAAGAGGGCCTATGGAATGGCCTGCTAGGGCACCTGATTTGAAGCCATTAGACTTTTTTTTATGGGGCCATTTAAAATCTATAGTGTTTACTCCCCAACCTCAAACTTTACATGAACTTCGTCAACGCATCATCAGAAACTGACATGATATCCCACAAGATGTTTTTGAAAATGTGCGTCAGGAATTTGAACATCGGCTATATTATTGTATGGCCAATAACGGACAACATTTTGAACACTTATTAAAAAAGTGATATTTTAGTGTGTTGCTTTTAGGTATTTATTGACTTTAATTTATTTGATTATTAATGTTTTTTTGAAATGTTAAAATATTTTTTCAAATTTCTCGAAAACGAATCGACCTATTTCAAAAATTCAAACGTCATAATAAAGCACTTGATAAGGCCTTTCAAACAAGCTATTATTCGATAACCTTTCCCATTTAAGATTCTTTAGGGGGTGCCCCTGGGCGGTAGGGGGTGAAGTGGGGGGAAGTAATTTTTACTTAAAAAGTTGTCCCCCTTGACACGTCTTTTGACGTGTCTCGGCGTTTTTTTTTTTTAAATCAGTGGTTTTTGATAAAACCGGGGTGGGAAGTTTTCAAATGAACACCCGGTATAACAACTTACGCTAAGTGTTACGAACTTCCGCTAGCATTTTGGAAAGGATTTAACAACTGGGGGGGGGGGGGGGGCTAGCGGCACTCTAGCCGCCTCCCGAATAAATACCTGTATGTGTGTATGTTTTAAAGGGGTAATGCGGTTGCTCGAATTTTATCTGCGCTAGCCTGCGCTAGCTTTAAGGAAGCTTCGTATATATTTTTGAAAAATTAAAAATCACTTATAGGGGCTCATGATTTTTTTTGTTCACCCTGTATGACAGCTACGATAGCTGCGCTAGTTACGACACAACTTGCGCTAGGCTGCGCTAGGTGTCACGAACTTGCGCTAGCATTTTGAAACGGATTTAACAACTGGGGGGGCTAGCGTTGATCTAGCCCCCCCCCGAATAAATACCTGTATATGTTTTAAAGGGGTAATGCGGTTGCTCGAATTTTACCTGCGCTAGCCTGCGCTAGCTTTAAGGAAGCTTCATATATATTTTTGAAAAATTAAAAAACACTTGTAGGGGCTCATGACTTTTTTTTGTCCATCCTGTATGACAGCTACGATAGCTGCGCTAGCTATGACACAACTTGCGCTAGGCTGCGCTAGGTGTTACGAATGTGCGCCAGCATTTTTGAGAAGATCGAATAACTGGGGGGGGGCTAGCGTCACCCTAACCCCCCCGAATATAAAGCCACATATCTTTTGACCTGTAGCTGCGCTAGCTTTCGTGATTTCTGTGCGAACAGACCTTAAATCAACTTATTGACACCTTTAATTTGACGCTTCATTCAGTGCAAAACTTGATAGGTGTCAAAGCTGGGACCGCAGGCCCTTGCCGCAATAAGCTGCCCTGCCTTCTTTTTTCTGGCAAGTTCTCACGAGGCAGGATCGATTTCTTAGATAGAGAACATCGAGACCTTCAATCTGATATCCTACTTAGGGCATAACTCGATGGGGGTAGTGTTACGTTTTTTTTCAATTTGTTAATAATTTGTTAAAAGATATTTCCGGCGCGGTCGTCTCCCAGACTAACTTGTATTGGCATAATTATTGCCACAGTTAACAACACAACAATTTCTGAAACTGTGCCTGGGTAAAGACATGACAAGTAGTGGGTATGCACAATAGCCTGAATTAATGATAATAAAAAGTATTTGGCAAATAATAATTACACGAAAAGAAGTGCAATCAAATATAATTATTTCGTGTAAACATCCAGACCTTTATAATGAAATATATTTCGCTTTGAAATCGTTTTTAATAAGAAAAATTACATTTGTTTAAATCAAATCAAGCACTTGTCATAATACAAGAACTTACGTTGTTGTCGAAAGAGGGCGCTACTGTAGTTTATGGACGGACTCTATAGGTATCTTTTAATTGTTTGTTTGCTTTTTATTGGTTAATTTTTTAACTTGAGTTACTTTTTCCTCAGATCTATGTCAGCTTTGTCAATTAAGATATAGGTACTTCTTGGACAATAAAGCATATTTTGATTTGATTTCCGTTTGTTGTTAAATGCAAAGTGTCCCACCCAAAAAGGATATGCCTGCCTTGACCCTTTTGGCCATGTCGTATTATGGCAAGTTTACAAAATATAAGAAAAAGATTCGTTTAGAGTTTAATTTAGGCTGTTGAATGGATTTGACCATTTTGGGACAGGTCGAGGGTCAGGTAAACGAAATAGATTAAATTGGCCTGCGTCACACAATACAAATTGAATTTTCTGTGAAATAAATTCATAGATTATTTTTTTGTTTTTCAGGCTCAAGCAAAACAACAAACAAAAAAAAAAAAATACTTAGGTTATTGTAACCGATTACGGGCGTCTTCTTCAAATTTTTAACACTGGCGACTACAACCAACTGACTGCGATTGGTCAGAATTTTGTTGACTCGAAAGTTATTTCTTTTTCAACAGCAGGCCGAACGGAGCCCGTTCAATCATACCGATTTTAAGGTCACATGTTAAGGTAGCTGTTAACTCATCTGCTGTTAGCTAACGTAACACATCTTCTGTTGAGTTAGCGTAGATATCAATCATAGGGCCCATTATGTTCAAAATTACCTTGCAGACCACTGTATAGCCGTTAAAGGTTAAATTGCTATGCTTCCTCTGCAAACTCCCGTTATCGGAGGGCATTGGAAATAATTTCATTCACAACAAATTTTCAACTTGCCTGAAAATATGTGAGGAAAAGTTGAGGGTGCGGGTTGGAGGAAGGGAGTTAGAACAAAAGATCAAAAGGGCGAGGGCAGAGCCAACCTAAACGGCCTGGGTTGGTAATCGAAGTGCCTAATTCGGCGTCTTGAGACCCTGAGACGCCAATGATGCTGCTTCAAGGCACCCCAGCGCCCTCTACGTTCGCCCTACGTCAGAAAACAATACTTTATATTTTTTTCAAAATTTGGGGGGATTGCGGCGAAGGTAATTTTTGGTGGAAAGTTGAAAATTTGGATTCAGCAACCCAGAAAACAAAGTAAGCCTATTTCCAGAAGTACTATGAATTTCGCAAGCAAAGGTCCTCATACGATCTCTATTGCCTGGATTATAGATTCCACAAGATTCGAAGAGAAATCTGGGCTAACCGCCTGGACATTTGCTTCAAATTTAATATACAGCAATAAGCAATTACGAGCAGAGCTAAAAGTACCTATCACATAGGCTTTTGTTGTCTAGAGGCGATATAACCTCATAGAATGAGGTAAATGCAGTGACTTTAACTCAACACCTGTAGCTATTGACTATTTTCCACTAATATTAATATTTCAGCTATTACTTTCTGCATCTCGCCAATGAAAATTAAGATTATAAATAATTATCCTTTCAGCAGGTTCGGCAAGCTTTCGCATCTAGTGTGGTTTGATCCAAGATCTAAATTCAAACTGTTTTATTTTCAAGGTCTTTACATATTATTTGTACGTGAATATTTGTCGAAGTTTGTTCGAAAAAGACAAATTACTATTTTCTCTGCTATTGACAATAAACCTAATGAAAAGTCGAGACGAAGTCGACATGTCCGAATGGATGTTTTTCCTGACGGGAGGCGTAGGGCTGGATAATCCAAACGTCAACCCTTCAGACTGGCTCGTGACGAAATCCTGGGATGAATTGTGCAGATTAGGCGATTTGCCGAATTTCAAGCAAGAATAATTATCCATAAATACATTTCTGAATACTAATTTATTTATTTTCTAGGGGAATTATCAATCATTTCAGCAAAAACTTATCGAAATGGAAATTAATATTTGACTCGGGAGAGCCTCAGAAAGTGCCCTTACCAAGCCCCTGGTTAGAAAAATTAAATTCTCTACAAAAACTCCTAGTTCTCAGATGTATAAGATTCGACAAAATCGTTCCGGCAGTACAAGATTTTGTCACAGAGCATCTTGGCAAGCAATTTGTAGAACCTCCACCCTTCGATTTAACCTCATCGTTTGCCGATTCCCATTGCTGCATACCACTAATTTTTGTACTAACTCCTGGTGCCGATCCAACAGCAGTGTTACTTAAATTCGCTGACGATCAAGGTTTTGGAGCTGCAAGACTATTTGCTCTATCACTAGGACAAGGACAAGGCCCTATTGCAGTTAAGCTTATAGATGAAGGTGTGAAAAATGGCACGTGGGTGGTACTGCAAAATTGTCATTTGGCTAAAAGTTTCATGCCAACTTTGGAAAGAATCTGCGAAAATTTAACGCCAGACTCCACGCATCCAGATTTTCGTTTGTGGTTAACCTCTTACCCTGCCGATCATTTCCCGGTATTAGTGTTGCAAAATGGCGTCAAAATGACCAACGAACCGCCGAAAGGCTTAAGAGCAAACATTACTCGTTCGTACATGAGCGATCCGATATCAGACATGGAATGGTTTGAAAGTTGCAAACAGTCTGCAGTTTTCAAAAAGCTTTTATACAGTTTGTGCTTTTTCCATGCTACGGTGCAAGAAAGACGTAAATTTGGGCCTTTGGGTTGGAACATTCCATATGAGTTTAATGAAACGGATCTTAGAATAAGCGTGATGCAGTTGCATATGTTTTTAAATGAATACGAGGTAAAAATTGTCTCAGAATAAGCATGAGTTTCGTTACTGTTCTTTATTTCAGGATATTCAATTTGTTGCTCTATTATATTTGACTGGCGAGTGTAATTATGGCGGAAGAGTGACAGATGATTGGGATAGAAGAACCTTAAATACAATCTTGCAAAAGTTCTATTGTGTGGAGGTGGTGGAAATTGAAAATTTCCCATTCGATCCCAGTGGTAATTGACTATTTTTAAGGGATTTAATAATGGGAAATCTAAGGCCAGCAATTTTCGCTCGGATAATCTCTATTCTTGTCTTGGCTTTAATTAAATTAGACAATAAGAATTAAAGGATTGCGTGAAAGAAAAACTCACTAAACTTAGGATTCATGACTTTTTTTATTTTAAATTAGACAACTTTAACATTTCAACGTATATTTTTGATCAGCATATTAGAATTATTGCGCGTACGATCAAACAACTTAGCTCAGCTAAGAAACCGACATTGACTTAGGTAAGAAAAGTGCTTGTTCGTAAGCAGCTACATATTTTTAGGGCGCATTTTTGTAGGTATGACACTACTTTATTTAAAATTGAATATCAATTTAACTAATAATGTTATATCAAAATATCACATAACATTTCTCATTTTTCTTTAAATTAATATATATATTTTTTTTTCATTATTAAGCGATCGCAGAATTTATTCTAATTTTGGAGGAAAAGCACATTAGGTGTTTGCCAGTCTGCCCACCACCGTCAGACGTTAATGTTTATTTTTTATACCCTAATCACAATAGTCCCACTAGAAGACATCTCTTCAGAAACATAATTCTTGGTACTTATTGCTGTAATGAGTATACATCATTTTTCAATGTCCTCTTTCTTCACGCTAGAAACTGTTAGTTCTATTAGAATAAATCTCCTGGAATATAGCGAAGCACGACAGGATTTTATATTAACCTAATATTAATTTGCTATTTTTACTGTAGTGGTTATCCTAAGCATTATGAAACTAATTTTCAGGGGCCTATTATTGTCCGGACAAAACCGAATATGACGAATTTATCACTTACACGAAATCTTTGCCCATAATCACGCATCCGGAAGTTTTCGGTATGAATGAGAACGCTGATATTATGAAAGATCAGCAGGAGACCAATTTGCTGCTTTCCAATACATTACTGACTCAGGTAAAGATAATTCTTATTTTTCTTTGAAAGATTTATTTGTGTGGATCTTCATGTAAATTTTTTTTTCTGATTTTTGCCTAAAACAGGATAGAATCGTAAGTAAAAACTATAGAGTGTATGATTTTTTTCCAACATTTTTGGAAATTATTTTTTTTACATGCTTTTCTTAGGATGTTTATCAACTTAAGGTAAGTTTTGGTCAGTTGAAAAAGATTCAATATTTTAATAAGAAAAAATGATTTCAAGCTGCTGAAAAGGGTAAGTTTATCAAACCAGTGTATGTGTGTTATAATTGAGCAATTTGATTGAAATTATGCTGTAACCAAGAGGTGTCATTTGACATAAGACAATAGCGGAAAGTTGGATTCTACATTATTAGTAAAAATTCTCTCTACAAAAATTAAGGAATTAAGAAGTTTTACTGTGCAAATTTATTTAAATTTGTAATGAAAATACATCAGGTTCGACCAGCAGATATAAAACAATATAAAGCCTCCCTGTCACATAGAAATGCGTCCAAAATATCTAGTAGGTACCAATTACTCATTCGTCTTGAAACTATTTAGTTGATGGTTTCCACCAGGCAGAAAGCAACCCCAAATGCGGGCTCTGGTCACAATAAAGGCAGTGTTGCTAGATTCACGCGTCTGCTGGTCCGACTTCTCGTTGCCTTTTATGCCCGTGTGATCCGGGATCCAAACAAATTTGCTCTTCCGGGGAGCTTGTTACAAATAAATTAAGTTATTTGTACTTTGAGAGATGTGTAGCCCCTGTATGTGCAAATGAAACCCCTCAAAATCCAACAAACAAAAATTTTATTTTTCTCCAAACGTCAAAAAAACGTCACTTTGTTAACACCTATCAAGATGTCAGAAATTTAATTTCTATGCTGCTAGGCCAATCCAGCGGGTTAATACCTGTCGAGGTGGTAGAAATTTTATTTTTCTCCAAACGTCAAAAAAACGTCATTTTGTCAACACCTGTCAAGATGTTAGAAATTTAATTTCTATGCTGCTAGGCAAATCCAGCGGGTTAACACCTGTCGAGGTGGTAGAAATTTAATTTCTATGCTGCTAGGCAACTGCAGCGACAGTAGAAGTACTTTTAGTGCCGCTGGAGCGGCAGCAAAAGTACTTTTAGTGCCGCTCGTACTTTTACTGCCGCTCAACTATTCAGTTACCCCCGAGCTTACCCCATTCGTTTGGAGAAAAAATAGCGTGTTGCATACGGAGTAGAAGCACTTTTTTGTGCTTCAGCAGTATTGCAAGCCTCACTACGTTCGGCTCGCAAACCTACTGCTTCAGCACAAAAAAGTAAAGCTTCTACTCCTAATACAACAATATACTATTTCACAATGTAAATGCAAGTCAAATGCTACTTTTTGCTTGGTACCTAACGAAGTTTTTCAGGACTTATCTGCTATTCCGAACTCGGCTAACGCCTCGTCCGGAAACAGCAATGATTCGTCCTGAAAAACTTCATTTTAGGTACTTGTGACAAAAATAACTATTTTTAAGAAAAATAAACGTTTTTGGGCGTGGAATCCGGAAAAATTTTTCGCCTTCAGCAATATCCTCCGGCGTCTATGCCACTGTAGGGTTGTCACCTCTCCGGGTTTCACCCGGAGTCTACGGGTTTTCGCATATGGTCTCCGGGCTACGGATTACTAGGTGTTTTCTCCGGTTTAGCAACAGCGCAATCCTGTTTCTCCCGGAAAAATTCTCCGAAACGCACGCGTCGTCGTTACCTACGGTCTCCCTCAAGGATAATATACACTACCTACTACAGGATTGCTCATCGGCCTTGATTTTTGAAATCAAGGTCATATGGTGTTGCACCGTTGGTGACATCATCAACGGTGTCGTTAACTGTTTGCGCCAGCGGTCGTAGTTTAGAATATACATTTATGATGAAAAATATTATTTAATTTTGATTAACTGAATAGGCAACGAGGAAGATGCAGACGAGATCTGAAAAGAGTTCTTTTAGAATGTTAATTAATGTACTAACACAAGTATGCATAAAACAAAAGCCAGGGGAATGATAGCCTGTGGTGCAAACACCTTACGTCGAAACGAGAATCGACCCGATTCCTACGTCATAATTGGTACTTTGGCGTGGTGCAGTGGGAGCTTGAGATTTGATCTACACAGGCCTTATGAGAATACGCTATATGCCGGAGGAGACTTGTGTATAGATATATAGTAAAGTGTAATACATCTGTTATCAGATTTGAAGGATTTTTGTTTCTCATTTTTCTTCCAATGAATTTTTTTTTCCCCCATTTCAACTTATTTTCAAAAGTGGCGTCCCTATATGCCAGGTACATCGTCTGATCTAAAATTGAAACCCTTCCCAGACCACGAGCCGCCACTGCTCTAAACCCCCCCCCCCCCCATGAAAAAGCTATAGCTACGTCGTTGGCAAGTTCCCTATTCTAGCTTGTGATGAATTCTGCTGTACATAATTTTAAGCAGAATTTTTAACGTATGTGACATTAAGCTTATCGTTCTATGATCACTGTATTCTTTGGCATTGACTTTTTTCGGTAGACATATAAATGTTGATGTAAGCATTTCTTGTGGGATGATTTCTGTATTGAAGATTGTGTTAAACAGCTCCACCAAAAAATCTATGTTTCTTTCGTTGATCAACTTGAGCAACTCGCTTGTTATTCCATCTGGACCTGCAGATTTTTTATTCTTCATGGATTTAAGTGTATGTTCAACCTCGGATTAAGTTATTTCAGGTCCTATGTCTTCACCTTGATAGCCTGCAGGCGTGTTTTCCTGTCTCTGGTCATTCAATAATTCCTCTATGTATTTTTTTCATCTTCTCAATTTTTCTTCATATATATATATAAAGGATAAGTTAATAGATGAGATTCCCCAAAATGCTAGAGGTAGCCAAAGTAAAACGATGTAATGTGCTACTAAGTGTCTGTTTATTCAAATATCAAGCTTTCGTCTACCATTGCAGACTTCATCAGGACGCTAAAAATAACAATGAAAACTCCTTACTAAGAGACAGATTAACCCTTTACTTGGAGGCAGAAGGCCCAATAAACTTACTTGAAACTTCAAGACAGCTCTATTGCAATAATAACCACTATATAATAGATAAATGCATAATGCACTTTCCCAGAAGACTTAAACCTTGAGGATGTCATGTAACAATCTAGATTTCAACTAAACGCTTATCAATATAACAGAATACAACATTTAGGTAAAAGGACGGATATAATTAATTTGTAAAAAACAATTATCCAATAGGGGATTACAACAGATTAAAATAAAAAGTAGTAAAAATTAATTAATAAGTCTTATGGCCGTTTCCACCAACGCAGATTTAAGTTTACTTAACGTTAAGTGCCGCTTATATTATAATTTCTTTTCCACCAGTCTAACCTAGTGTCATTAAGATAAACTTAACTAAGCCCAGGAATTTCTAGGCTTATTCTTCCCTTAACAGAGTGGCAATGATATGCGCAAGCAATTTGCATCATGCCTTTGTTGACATAAGCAAACGTTAAAGTTGATGCTTCACAGAAAGTGGCAAAAATTGAATTGAGATAAAATTTTCTCAATTTTCCAATTTCTGGTGAAGTTTGCATTATGTTGTGTTTAAGAAAATTGTTGTCGGAAAAATGGATATACCTAAGATGATTTGGAAGTATTGGATTTGTTTGAAGATGTGGTACCTATCCCCAGAAAAATTTATGATAGAAATAATCATTTTGAGGAGATGGACAATCTAACGTTTTTTGAAGATTCAGATTCAGATTGACAAAACCCACTGTGTTGCAACTTCTAGAACAAATTGAAGCGTCCTTAGAATTTCCTATAGGTGAATTTGGAGTGATTGTGTTAAACTCATTGGCTAATTTTCGCCAAATTTTTGTTTTTTCTGAAACCGATACTGCACCCGTTTTCTTGTTTTTTATTATATGTTTGTACTTTGCCGAAAGGTTTACCAGAAGATCTTTTTCGTGGGTAGTACCTATAATTTCCCGAATAATTTCCAGCTCTTATTTTTCCATTTTCATTCATTGTTGAACAGACGTGTTGTCGCTAGGTATTGTAAATCACAAATTAAAAGTGACCTATTTATTTTTATTTATTCAAACCTCGAATCTATCGTCAATAATTTCAAAACATTATTTATTTTCTGGACTTCAAAATTCCATCAAACCACTATACAAAGCCAAGTTTGAGGTTATGATGGCGAACAAAAGCAAGGTTGCCAAAGCTAAACAGCACTTAGTTAAGATTCATCAGAAAGGCGGTGGTGGAATGCAAATTTAATTAAGCGGTGCTTACGTTTTAAGGGACGCTTAGATATTCTCAGCTTAGAGCTTTATTGGTGGAAACGGCCATTAAAACGTTTAATTGAAAACACAAAACAGCTGGAGAAAGCTGACAGTCGACAGAAATGAAGTAATGACAACGTCAAAGTCTATCAATCTCCATCTGCCTGGAAACCAAAAAAGAAGAAAGAAGAGAGAGAATATGTCAGGTTGATTTGAGGTTATGTTTCACTCTGTCATTCTTAACACAAAAATATCAGCTGATAGTTAGCTATTCTCCTAGATAAGGGGTACAGATATTCATACTATTAACAATAACAATATATCGCTCTTTACTTTATATTATACAACTCAAAAATTCAAATTACCAATCACAAAACCAGCAATGTAAGAGAGGCAGGCTTCAAATTAGTCAATATTATTAAAAAATAGTTACATTCCCAGAAATTTCGTCTGTTTGGAAAAGACAATCAAACAAAGACGGGTAAACTAGCCCCAATTCTTTCTGACGTACTCTTGTGGATACTTTTTATTGCTGTTAGTTAACTTTTGAGAAAGTAAATAAGTGTAAATTGAACTCAGGCCCTCGACATCTTTTTTATGATTTAGACAGTTATCACAATTATAAATGTAACACATCTCCAGAATCCTCCTTTTATATGAATTCTTTTCAGAATGCAATATAAAGGCATCT